TAATAAAGAAAGATAAAACGAAAATTTTTTTATAGAAAAAACTAAATGTTGATTTACCAAGCTTCAAGTTTAAATTCATTACGAAGTAATGAACGAGAATGAATACCATTATGATTAAGTCCAAGATAAATTGCTTCATTGAGTGTGTTCTATAAAAGAGAAATTATTAGAAGAATTGAATATATCCTTGTTTTATTTTTTACTTTAAGTTCAAAATGTATCATTCCATAAGTATTTGATTGTGATATTTGATGAACAAATTGATTTTGTGCTGATCGTGTATCAACTCTATTTAAATCTCGATATAATTCAATAATTTTCTCTTTTATTCCATCCGTATTTTCTTCTGAAAGACCAACCTTAACAATAATAATTTATTTATTAAAAATAACAACAATATTAATCATATCTTACTGCTGATATAATTAATCGAAGAATATCACGATTTTTATCAGCATCAAATTTATTTTCAAAACATCCTTTAATATTAATAAAATAATCATTTTTATTCAGAAAAAGAAAGTTTTACCTTGAAGAAAATAAGCTGAAAGTGTTTCAATAAGATTTGTTGGTACAGGATACATTGATGAAATAAAATTACAGAAGATTTGTTGATAAAGAATTCGACTAAAATGAAATTAATAGATAAAAATATGAAAGATAACATCCGGTGTCCGGAAGGGTGGGTGTGGGTGTGTCTGTGTATTATGAGAGAAGAATAACTTATACACCGACATCCTTTTGTCATTCCGAAGATCTTGTATGTCGGGAAATCGTAATGAACAGTTGATGCGAAATGTCTCTTTCGTTAATCATTTTCTATTTTGAATGTATACAGAATCCGACAATGAGATGATTATCTTATTTCATTCATTTAAAGTATATCGAACTAGTCGGAATCGAAATTGCAAATGTAACAGAATCTAATTACATCATGATGTACTAAACAAGTGACAAGTCCCGTCAGACAAAATAATTTATGTCTCTTATTGTTCAATTCCATAATTCTATATATATATTTACCGAGCTTTTTCGTCTGTTATTGCATAGGGCACCGGTGGATAGAGTAAAATTGTAAATGTTAAATTAGGTTTTAATTCAGATTTTGGTAACTGCTGTTTCATTGATATATCAGGATCAAGCCAATAAGATTGATTATTTATTTTGTTAAAATAAGATAATGCAAAACAATTCGATAATTTTTCATCTCGTATATGAAGCCGTTGTAAAAGATAATTAATACAATCAATTGTTAAACTATTATAATTCATTAAACATTCAATAGTTTCTTGTTCATAGTCATTAAATGGTAATAATGATAAATGATATAAATGTTTAAGATGTGTTTGTAAACATGGTAAATGAACAAAAACAAGATAATGACTTTTGGCACCACCTTGAATATCATAACGATATAAATGACTTTTGCCAAATAATGATGGCATTGTATATTGAAAAATTTGTCGTGTTGTTTTTTTTGTTGCTTCTTATTCTATGTACACATTCACGCACACACGCACACACACACAAACAAATCTAAAATGACTTTATGATATGTCTATAGATTTAACATGAGAAGAAAAAGAAAGGAAGGAAAGGAAAGACGAATAATACTTAGATTAAATCTTAATCAAACAATGAACTTAAGGGGAGGAATGTCATCGAACATACAATTTGAAGTAGTAGTAAAAAAAAAACGAATTGCTATGTTTTTTATTGCATGTTAATTTAAAAAACAATAAATAATTTCACCTAAAACAATCATAATTTTGTTTTTCGATATCAATTTTAAAGTTCATCATCAAAATGATCAGTATTTGATGATGATTGCGGACGCGAATTAGACTGATCATCTCGAGTTGATGACAATGGTTCAGTTGATGGACGCATATAAACACCAGCATCAACTTTCCAGATATTTTGACTATTAGCATATTGATAACAACAGATTTCTTTTTGACCATGAATGGGTCGACCATAAGTATCACCGGTTATATGAAGATATCTAAACAAAACAAAACAACTCATTCTTATCACATAGTCTCGTATGAAAGTTATCGTAACTGTAGATTAATTTCGATTAAAATTATTCTATTCACGGAAAATGGGAATCTCGATTAGTACGTAAAACTTACTTTCCAGTCGCAACATGTTGTAATCGAATACCATCTTTTCTCAACCAATAATCATTTCTAGTTGTACAAACAACTCTCCATTGATCACCTTCGTCACCAGCACCATCTTCACCATAAGCAGATACTTCTTGATTATGTGATAATGGTGAAGCAAAATTATGGCTATGTAAATTTTTTTTTGTCGTCACATGAATTAATCGTACTGTACTATCACATTTAATTGGAGTTCTAAAATATTTACAATAATAAAAAAATTGAAATATTTCTATATTCAATTACCCTCGTTCACAATCGTTGCCATCAATTTGCCAATAACTATTCACATCATCTGCATTTGGAGTACCAGTGACAGACTACAAAATATAAAATTAAAGAAAAATAAAAAAAAGGAACATTTATTGACTTACTTGTTGTCCACTGCCGGAACCATATTTAACGTCATGTGAATGAAGTCTATCATTTGATTGTTGATTGATTAATTTAAATGTTGAACTACATGTCACTGCATCTTGATTACTTGATATTAGATCAAATAAAAGGATTAGAAAGGAACATTGAACGATAATATTCATCTTATTCGTTTATTTATTGAAGAAACAAAAAGAACGACAAAACCAATTCATTTTTTTCTTCTTTTTCTCTGGACTTTATCGATTGGTTTATATAAACTAATCATTAAGAATAAATTTTTTTTAATTTTTTTCTTGATTAGAAATGAAAAATTTTGAATTAGTAAATGAAAAAAAAATTGTTTTTCGAAAATATTTATTTCGCCATCTATTGTCCAAATCGAAATCTACCAATGAAAAACATGTATGTATTTTATTAATTTTATCAGAAATAAATTGTCCACGTCAGTCGTTGGTTTTACTTTTAGAAACATGTTTCGTCTTATAGTAGCTGCTCTTGCTTTATTCGCTTTTGTTAACGGTAAAATAAATCGAAGATATTGTTTTATAAAACTGATTTTTCTGTAATTTTAATTCAGGTGAAAGTTGTGAATCTCCACAATTTAAAGGTGTTTCACATTCAACAAGAGATGGAAGATTAACAGTTGAACCAGCAGCTCAAGTTGAAATCACAGTTAAATGCAAAAGTGGAAAACAAGTTTGTTATAGACTATTTTATTTTTCAAAAAAAAACACGAAAGATCTTTTCATATTTAGCCAAGTACATTATATGCAGATATTAATGGACAAGTTGTTCCCTGTGCTCAATCAGCTACATCACCTGGAAAATACTTTGTAAGAATATTACATATATTAAGTGCAAATAGAGACAAGAAAGTTTATTTTTCTCTATAGGTTGGTGTCGCAGCTGCTACACATAAAGAATTAGCAAAAGGACGTACAGCTATTAAATTATATGATGACGAATCATATTCATCTTTACGTAAAGTAAGAAAATGAAATTTAAATTTTATAGAATTTTTAATAATAATTTTTGACTCTAGGCTCGTACAGATGAAGCAATAAAAGCAGTTAAACCATTTGGTCAAGTTGAATTAAATCATCCAGTAAGATTTATTTTATTTGAATATGAAAATTAATTTATGATTTTATTATAGGGTGTAAGTTATGGTCCATGGTTACCCAGTGAATTCTTTGCTGTTAGTGCTTTTGGAGTTGTTTGGTGGGTTGCATACCGTGAACGATCGAAAATTCTTAGTTGAATATTTTTATTGAACTAAATGATCGATTTAACTTCTTCCTTTTTTTTGTTTGTTTGTTATAGTTCTTGTTATTTTTATTGTTCGTTATATTAGATAGAGAGAATCTATGGACAAGATCAGTATTATTTTCTTTTTGTTTTTTTTCTGATTAAAAACATTTTATTGACCTGAATTGAAGTATAATTTGCTAGAATTGGGCACAAGAAAGGTTCTTTAATATCTAACAATTATAAGTCGAATTAACTAGATGCAAGATTTTATTCAGTTGATTATAACGAATTGAAATTTTATAGAATATAATTTATCTGTGATTTTACGGAGTCATATGGTATTCATGTTTCAGAGAGGCCATTAGTAATAGATTTGTTATAAATATTTTTAAATTCATAATACCTATTTATATTTTTTCTCAAAAATAACCTCTTCCATCATCAGTATGTTCTTTTTCACATAGTTTCAGCGAAAATCGTATCAGGCTTGCGTCATTAATATATAAAAGCCTCACTCGTTTCAGTATTTTCATTTGTTTTAACTAAATATTAAATACATCACTAGAAAGAGTCATATATTGATGAAACCAATGAAATCTCTACGATGGTTCGTAGGGTTGATATGTCTCTTGCAAAGCCAATGGATTATTGCTAGAAGTGTAACTGAAGTACAACCAGGTTAGTTCAAATTATTATTGAATAATGTAAATTTAAAAATTAATCGATACTATAGATGCTCGATTTATTTCACGAATTCATTCACCACTTGATTGTACTCAATATAATAATGATTATGAAATTCTTTCATCATTTTCATTTGTTACTCATCTTAATCCGATATTATCCTCTCCATCACAAACTTATGGTTTAATGGATTCGAATGAAAATGTTTACAAGTTAAATATTGTTCATGAGAAATTTGTTCCAACTACTGTTTTTTGCTTAAAATCTTTACGACAGTTAGAAATACGAAATACGAGTTTTTATGAATTTGAATTAGATGACAATTCTATTCGTTCACTTCCTTCTGAAATTGAGTTGCTTGCAACATCGCTCATACATTTCGGTGTTTATGATACTCCAGTTGCTCATTTGCCTGAACAGATAGGCAAATTAAGAACTCTATACTATCTCGAATTGTCCAATACCGGTCTTCTTGATCTTCCAAATTCTATTGGTGATTTATCTTCACTACTAGATCTGCGTTTGCCTTGGAATAAACTAACATCGTTACCGATAACCCTTGGAAACCTTCAAAATTTGCTCCTTGTAAAATTAGATGGAAATCCACAATTACGTTCAGTGCAATCCCTCAACGGCCTTCCAAATCTTCAAAGCATAATTACAACTTATTGTTCAATCGAGCGTCTTGCATCTAATTTACCAAATTTGCAGCACTTAAACATGCGGCATAATAATCTAACAGATCTTGTTAATATTAGAACATTGGGTAATAACACGAATCTTCCTAAATCTTTCTATTTTTCCGCGAATCGTATTCGTTCTGTTCCACCACAAATTGGTTATGTACGCAATCTAGTTGAACTCGATCTCGACTATAATGAATTGACTAATTTACCTTCAGAACTTCTAAATGTTACTACACTTCATGATTTATTTATTCGTAATAATCTGTTTAGTATTACTGATTTACAAACGATTGCTGCTCAATTCAAAGCTAAAAATCCAGCTTTAAATTTAGTGTATTAATCTGAGAAACATTTTACAATAAAATCTATCTAATAAAACTCTGGAGTATATTCATTCTTTATATGTGGAATACTTCTAATCTTATTTCTTTTTTTATTTCAAAAACTATTAAAGTTTGAATGTATTCTGTTTAAAAATAAATATTATATCAATAGATTTACAATTCTTTTTTTATCAGTCATCTAGTTGTTATGAAAATCATAAAATATCTTGAATACAAATATGATCACAGAGAATAAATACCACATTCAGAGAATATACAATGGGGAAAAAGGTTCGATTCATATTTCGAATTTATTATTATTATATAAACATAGTTTCGAACGATTAATCCTATATACTCAATATGCATAAAGTTTTTTAATATTCAATATATCTACGTTATGTATTGTATTCATATGCTAAAGTGTTTGTGATCTTACATGAGTGTATATAGTTTATTGATTATAGACAATCCTCTACGTAGTAAATAATTTGATGTTTATTCTTAACTGAAATCTGTCTTGCAGAAAAATCAAAAAAATAAAATATAATATATTATTATATTGATCCACAAAGCAAAATAGTGTTTTTATATATTTATTTTCTCAACTAAAAATTAACGAATGTTTCTTGATATTTTATTATTCCTTTTTGATTTTTAACACATTAAAATTCCGTCAATATGAAGAACGAAAGAAAAATCATAACATTGTAAAACCTTGAATTTTTTCTTTATTAAAAATTGCACAATAAAGTAAAATATGTTGTAATCTAACAATTAAAACGAATATGTATTGTATCATCCATAAAACACATATATTTTCATATATAATGTGAATAAGTTTGATAAACAAAAAAAATGTATTAGTGATAGTTTGAATCATTTTATATAATTAAATTTAGAGATATCGTGATTGATAAATATATAGTTAAAGAAAAAATTTGTAATATTTTTAATAAAAGTATATTAGTACGAATCAGATCATGTTGTTTGTAAATGATTTTGTATCTGATGCCCTCTCCTTGTGGACTTTTTTTTTTAAAATTGCTCAACTGGGTTTTTTTTGAAATGACTAATTCATGTGATTCACATTATTCGCTGGGAAAAAATTATAACAAAAAAATATTCGTACTCGTTTATCATTTTGACATTCACATGTAATTGGTCTTATTATCCTATGATTTATATTTTCAATTAAATATTTTATCTATTGATTATTCTATAAGAAAAATTATCAATACGATGACGCAGTACGATCACACTTGCGTAAGACGGTGCAAGAAATCCACTTGGATTTTTCCAACGGAAATTTGTCGATGAGTAACTATTACATCACCATTGCCGTATATATAGTCTTGCTCTTTAAATAAACAGGACATAATTTATTAATGACAAATTTTGACACAATGCGTTTTTCAACAGTAATGTTAATAGTTATATCTTTGTTATCCTTTTATGAAACGGCTTCGGTTAATTTATATCAACAACAAAAAGGTAATTTATAAATTTTTTTACTTAATCATATATACATATATATAAATTCTGTTTATATTACAGGAACTCAAGACGCTTTCCAGTCAGCTTTGTTGTTTAATTGTTCAAAATTTCAAACTTACGATGATATTTTTGAATCATTTCCATTTAAAGTTGAACTTAATCCAATCATGGAACATTCCAAAATAACATTTGGTTTATTAGATGTTAATGGTAATCTTTATTATTTAAATATTTTTAATGAAACATATTTTCCATTATCTGGTTTTTGTTTCAAACATTTAAAAGAACTTTATGTGCGAAAAACAAATTTTCAGAATGTCAATAATACAATACCAGCAGAAATCCAATATCTTGCACCTACACTCCTAAATCTAAGTATTTATGATACTATCATTACTCATTGGCCATATGAAATGAGTAAATTACGAAAATTAGAAACAATACAATTTTCCAATACCAGTCTTAAAATTCTTCCAGATTTTATTGGTAATTTTTTATCATTAAAGTTTTTGTCTTTACCAAATAATATGTTGACATTATTACCAACAAGTATTGTTAATAATTCAAAATTACGAGAAATTAAATTAGATAATAATCCAAATCTTCGCTCCATACAATCACTTAATGGTCATCCTTCTATAAGATATATAGAAGCAAAGAATTGTTCAATCGAGAATCTTCCTATTAATATACCACAACTAACTGATTTATATATGTCGAATAATAATTTAAAAAATCTTAGAAGTATTCACGCGTTAGGTCATGCAACAGATGCTAGAAAATTTTTTTATTTTGATCAAAATCGTATACAATCTATTACACCACAAATTCGGTATGTTAAGAATCTTTATTCTCTCAATCTTAATGGAAATCAATTGAATAATATGCCATCGAGTATTCTTTATATGAATACACTTCGTTATTTATATATTCAAAGCAATCGTTTTGGTAATATTGAATTGGCAACAATTATTTCTAAGTTTAAAAGTAACAATCCATCTCTAAAGATATGTTATAAGAGTCAAATAACTTCATGAGTAAACTTCTCATCAATAAACTGACGTAATGACCTTACGGGTGTGATATATTTTTTTTTATAGTAAATCATTTTGTTAGTTTTCTGTGATATTATTTTTTTTGCGCTATTTGTTTTTGCTTTAAACAGTAACATTAGTTGAAAAACTGTATAGATTATGAGAATAATAAATTTATTGATTCGTATATTTAGACATAATCATTTATTCTGTCGTCTGAAATTTTCAAAAGATCCAGATGAATCATTTCCATTAGTCACTGTAGTTTTTTTTGTATTTCTCTTGAAATACATAAGAAAAAGAAAAAAAATATACAAAACTGACACTAAATAAAATAAAAATATATTGTCACAATTGAAACTGTGGTTTACCTTTGGCTAGTGAACTGAGCAATCGGAGTTGACTTGTTTCAGCACCTACGCAGTTACTCCTTTCACTATAATTTACAACTTTAAAAGCTACGATAATACGATGTCATACAGTTCTTTTTTTTTCAACAGTAATCAGAGCTTGCAAATGCATGAAGGGTGCCTTTTTTTCATATGTTTATAACATCAAAGCAAATAAATCAGCTAATTCTATGAGATGATTTTCTAGTTTTATCTCGTCGTACTCATATATTAAAATTTCAATTATTGTATATGTGTTCACCACGTATAACATATAATATCCTTTTCTGAGAACAAATAAAAATAAAAATAATAATATTTTTATCAATTTAATATATTCAATAATGTTTAGATTGATATAACTAAATATCTATTTATTGGATTAGAATGATCATAAAAGTCTTTTCGTTTCTTTTTGTTGTATATTAACTATATTAAAAAATATGACGAAGCAAAAAGAACACGTTTTTTATCCCTTCGTAACACGTGGACATGTAATGTTTGTTCGAAAAAAGAAAAAGAACTGAGGCTTTTTTTTTCTTCTTTATAACGAAAAAAAAGACATAAATATTCAATCAAAGAACGACACTAGACAAATAACTTTAAAAAAATTAATGTTTTCGATTGTGTGACCAGGGGTGGCGCGACCGAGGGGGGTGTCGGGGTGTAACATCCCCCCCCCCCCCCAAATTCAAAAGTTTTTGTTACACTCCCCCAATGTTGGTTGACTCACGCCACCCCTGTGTATGACGAGACTATATCTGTTAGAATTCAATTATTCACTCTTATAGAAGAAGAGAATGATACATCTTTTTTTTAAATCTAATGAGTCATATAAAGTTATATAAAACATAACAGGAAAATATTCTCTATTTCACCTTTTTTTTTCTTCTTTCTAGTCATTACATATATATATTGTTGATTCAATTGAAAAACAATAAATCATACAATATACATATGTTATCTTAACGTCATATGCACTTTTCGGTTAAAATAATATGTGCTAGGTAAACATGGAAAATTCCAAGATTGAAATATATCAAAAGATTGCATAATATTTGAGTAACACCATTTTATTTTCTTTATCAAAACATAAGTCACTGAATTAATCTCTTTCGTTTCTGTTTGAGTATATTAAGCCGCGATAGTATTCATTTTTTCATATTATTAAATTAAAATATTTTTTAGATAAAATACTCTCCCTGACAACACGATTAATAGTAAAACTTTGAACATTATATTATTATTTTTTTTTAAAACAATAACAAAATGAAATTACAAATTATTTTTATAACTCTTGCATGTATAGTACAAATGAAATGTTATGCTATGGGAAATTACAATGAAATAGGAACAAGTAAGTTATAGATATATATGTATGTGTTAATTTTGTTCTTTTTTAGTTTTTCGAAATGTTTTCCAAGAATATTCATCACCAGATTGTACTAAATATGCAAATGACGCTGAAGTTTATAAATCATTTCCATTTGAACTTGATTTTCATTCAGCAAAAAGAGACGCTTCAGAAACTTATGCAGTGAAAAATGCAAATGGAGATATTATTGTGTTAAACATTAACAAACAGGAATATGTTCCACCATCGGCTTTTTGTTTAACAGAATTACGAGAATTATATGTACATAAAACAAAATTTCGTACTTTTGATCTTGGATTACCAATTGCAATCGAACGTTTAGCATCAACACTCAAATATCTTACTATTTCTGATACACCTATTCGTTATCTTCCCGAACAATTTGGTAGATTGATACATCTTAAAGAGCTCAAATTATTGAATACGGGTCTTACAAATCTTCCCAATTCAATTGGTAAATTATCATCATTAACTTATTTAGATTTACATGATAATAAATTAGTCTCATTGCCATCAACCATTATAAATACTCATTCATTACAAACGTTGATATTAGATAATAATCCAGATCTTCGATCAATACAAGCTCTCAACGGACATTCCAGTTTGAAATTTTTACAAGCAGATAATTGCCAAATTGAACGTATTCCTCTCAATTTACCACAATTAATAAATTTATATATGTCCAACAATAGTCTTACACATCTCTCTAATATTCATACATTAGGTAATAAAACAAATAAGAAAAAATTATTTTTCTTTGACAATAATTCTATCCGTTATTTATCACCTCATATTCGTCAAGTGAATAATCTTAGTTTTCTCAATCTTAATTACAATAAATTATATATTTTACCAATGGATATTTACGAAATTTCAACATTACAAACTTTATATATTCAAAACAATGATTTTAGTGATAAAGATCTACAAGAAATGGTTGCTAGATTCCATCGTACACATCCAAAACTAAAACTCTGTTATTCTTCTAAAAAATCTTGTTAATTCGATACACTTAATTTTTGACATCGGCATTTTTTTTTTGTTTCGATATCTTATGATCTCATTTTTTTTTGAAGATACAAAATAAATTGACAATAATTCTATGTTATATTGATTTCAAAATATTAAGGAAGTGAAATATACGACCTCTCATTTTCAGGGTCGAAAAATAAATAATGAAGAATCTCTAAAAACGGGTCATTGTGTACCTGTGTATGATGCAGCCCTATTATGTTGTTTTTTCGATTGATTATTTTATATAGAACGGAAGCACTTTTTTTGTATACCTTGTGACATATATTCTTAGTTTTCACGCATTCAATATATGGCAGTGCGTGCTGATTTTTCGATATGACATCATTTCCTTCGTCATGAGATTAACTAAGTGGGTTTTTTCCAAATAAATGTTCCTCGAAATAAGCACTTCTATACTGATTAAATGCTTGAAATCTTTGTACACGTAAAAAATTCATATGTTGTTCTCTATCCAGGTGTGTCTGTTAGATTTGTCAAGTCAAGGTAATGACGAGATGAATCAGAATCAATGACGTCAGACCAATTCATAAAACGCTTTGATAAAAAGAAAAGATTGGTTCCTTATCGGCGATAATTAATATTGATAAAGAAATACTTGGAAAGTTCCAACATTTTACCTTTGACCCTTTATTTTAATTGATATTTTCATCTTTCGCGGAATATTTTTTAATATTCTTATTAATCTACATGTATTCAATTCCTTCTTCTCTATGAGTTACAATAACCTTATAGAAGACTGAAGCACATATGATGTACTCCCATCTTATAAATTAAAACATATCGATATTTTTTTTATTATTTTATTTTTTCTTTATTTGTTGGTATTTTCCAGCAACTTATTAGTAATAGTGTTACCTAAATATAATTGATAAAACCACTTTATCATAGTCAATACAAAATTTTCTTATTTTCATATAGTCCAATAAAAACTTATTACACAATATCAATAATAATACAAATGAAGCTATTTTATATTCTACCAGTGATATATTTATTAAAAATCCAATTGATTATTAATGCAAATCCGATTCGTGCAACTAAATCAAAAAATACTCAAGAAATCCATTGTCCTCAAAAGAAAACTGATTCTGATATTATTAAATTATTTCCATTTTTTGTTGAATCTAATCCAATGTTACCGAAACCTTCAATGACATATGGATTAATGACGAATGGTAAAATTAATTCTATAGAAATTATTAATCAAAAAACCTGCATTCCATCGATTATTTTTTGTTTAAAAAATTTAGAAAAATTAATTATTAATAATTCATATTTTTGTGATTCGACAAAACAAATCAATGGTAAGATGGAATATTTACCAGAACAAATTATTAAATTACAAAAACTCAAAACATTAAAAATATCTCATGTTAATCTTACATTTCTTCCTAATATAATAGGAAATCTAATCTCTTTAACAGATTTAACATTATCCAATACTAATTTAGAATATTTACCAGAAACTATGTCATATCTGAAATCATTAGTAGAAATAACATTAATAGATAATCCGCATCTTCGCTCTATAAAACCAACTGATGGCTTACCTGCTCTTCAAATCTTAATTGCAAGACATTGTTCCATTCAAAATCTTCCTCGTTATTTGCCCAAATTAAAGGATTTATTTATGTCTTACAATAATCTAACAAGTCTTTCTGGTATTGAAACATTAAGCAATAAAGAAAATAAAAAGCAAAATTTTGAATTCAATAACAATCGTATTACAGCAATCACACCAGAAATTCGGCATGTTCATACTCTATCTCGACTCCATCTTGCTCAAAATCGATTAGATAATCTCCCTACAGATATGTTTGATATGAAGAATTTAACTTATTTAAATTTACAAAATAATACCTTTCTTCCAAATGAAAAACAATATCTCAAGGACGAATTCACAAAAAGAAATTCAAAGTTAAAGGTGTATTTTGATTAGAATCAATTCAATGTTTACAATCCTAGTAAAATTATTCTATTATTTATAATGCTAATATTCTGATAATTTTTCTTATCTCATAAATTAATGAACCTTTTATTTTTTTTTATGTCTTTTTTTCTATGAACGATAATGTCAAGATGCTTTCTAAAAGCTGATTTTAAAATAAAAATGATATTTGAAGAATGTATTGAATTATGTTTTATTTATAATTAAAATAATCAAATCGAAAATCGTACTATTTACATTTATACTTCATACAAAAAAAATCAAATAGACTAGTGATTCTACTTACTCGATTTTTCTTTCATGATGAAACTCGTATGCTATCATATTTTTATTATATATATATATATATATATGTGTTATTACATATTCGAAACACAAATGCGCAATATAGATTTCAAATCACATTTTTTTTATTACATCAGAAAAGAAAAAAAGGTAAACGCACGTGGCATATACAAAAAAAATATATATGTGAAAAGAAATATTTATTGGATGAAATACACAGAAGCTAAAATATTTTGTCGTTCGATAGAATAATAATCTGTAGTGGTATGAATATTACCTGTTCGAAATACTTTATATAATTTCATAAAGAATGTATTTAAAACACTTTCATATATTTATTTATATGCAAATCTTAGCTTCAATGATAAAACACTAATTTTTAGTTTTAAATAGTAATATTAGTTGAAAAACTAAATAGATCATATGAATAATACATTTACCGAAGAAGTATTGGCATTCTTAATTAGTATATTTAAATATAATCTTTGTTTCTATCGTCTGAAATTTTCAAAAGATTCTTTTTTTTCAGATGTTTATAAGATCAAACAAAATAAGTCAGCTAATTGTATACGGTCGTACTCATATATTAGAATTTCAATTATTGTATATATATGGTCATAACGCGTAACCTATGATATCCTTTACTGAGAACAGACAAAAACCAAAATAATAATGTTTTTGTCAATTCATCATATTAAATAATATTTAGATTGATATAACTAAATATCTGTTTATTGGATTAGAATGATCATAAAAGTCTTTTCGTTTCTTTTTGTTATATATCAACTATATTAAACAAATCTGATGAAGCAAAAAGCACACGTTTTACACCTTCTTACGTTCATAATACATGCAGATGTATGTCTCAGTTTCAAAAAAGAAGTAACACAGTTTTTTCTTCTTTTTGTATTGATTCACTTCTCATGTGAAACTATCTACATTTTTAGATTCATATATTTTTTGGAAGTCTAGTTTAGAATTCTGGCATACCGTTTATTTTCCACAGATTGGTTTCATTTCTCAAGTTTTCTTGAATATAGAATTTTTTTATTGATCTTTATGATTCCACGGAAGTTCAAAATTTTTTTGAAACTCGTATAAGGCATTATATGAAAAGAACTTCAGAAGTACTTTAAGAAACACCTAGAAATATTGTTAGATATAATATGGACTTCAAAAAGCTTGCAACGACGTTTACCAGGGATCCTCATGGGATGGGATGGGACGGGCTTTTCGTACCACGGGACGATGCGACTTATCCCATCCCATCCCATGGGATCCTCTGAAAAACAATATTCATCCCATCCCATCCCATGGGAATCATGACCAGTCCCATCCCATCCCATGGGATCTCATGGGATATGTCACACTGTAATAAAACTCTATTGAAAATTAAATTTAGTTCTGCAGTATGTTTTATTAAATCAAATAATCATTTACATTTATGACACATTCTTTATGATAATCTATTTTTTATAAATATAAAATAAAAGTTACTTTAATACTTTTCTCTATACAATAGTACTTTCTCAAAACACAAAAACAAATAAGAAAATACAAAACAGCAATACTATTATCAACAGACCATACGATTAGGGTGGGAAGCAGGGAAATATCTACCCACTTAATTTTTTGTTCTGCTGTAGTTTTTCCCCTAAAATTCTTTATTGACTACTTTTTGGTATTCTTTATAGCACTAATTTAAAGGATTCATGCAAAAGAGAAAACTTCCTTCAAAAGAGAAAGAGAGATTTTGAAGAATTGACTAAAATCAATTGTTTTTGGTGTAGAAAAAGGCTTTCACAATAGTTCTCAAGGCGAATTAGCCGTTTTCTCGCAAAGAGGAAAGTTCCTATGACCTGTAGATCATTTCTCTCTGATCTTAAGATTTTCTACCTGGTTTCGGGAGACTTTCTCTCTAGTTTCTTCCTTCTCCCCCGCCCTAATAAAACCAAACAAAAGCTTTGATTATCAGCAAAAAAGATTAGTAATCATATACATAAGTACAAAAATATAAATTAAATCCAACGACAAATAATATTGAGTAAATATTATAACGAAAGGCAATGAAATATTTTATACTATTGATCTAATAATATTTAGATTTCCTTTTCTGATTTCTAATTTTATCATTCCTTTATTTATCTGTTTGATAATGTTTAGAGTAAAAATTATTAATCAATACAGAAAAGCGACGAATATATTACTTATGTCTACCGCTTGTCAAATGCAACTTCTATTCGAAATAAAATTTTTCTTAAAAAAAAGAAATCATATATCCCATGGGAGGCAAGACTCATCCCATCCCATCCCATGGGATATGTCAAAAAAAAAGTCGTCCCATCCCATCCCATGAGGATCCCTGACGTTTACGCTAATTTCTAGTTTACACAGCATGAAGCTCACTTATCTTAATCAAATTATTCTTATAATTCTTGCATGCATGGTACAAATCAAATGTCATGCTATGAAAAGTTACAATGCAATAGGAACGCGTAATTTACAAATATCTATATATATATGTGTATATGTATGTACAGTCGAAGCGACTTATAAGAGCTTTGTTTAGGCACTTTTTTTGCGATTTTAGTTCACATAAAAGAACCTGTTTATCTATATGATTATAAATATGCATTTATGTTCCTCTTCTTTTCTTTCCTTGTTACTCATCCCGGAAGGATTTTTCCTTTCTATCATATAAATGTGTTGGGATTTTTCCGTTTCTTTATTCTTTTTTCTGCCATGCCGATTGCGATAAGGAAGTCGAAATTTCTAATTGAGTGAAACCAAATTGACAAGGAATGGTCGATTTAGAGGAAGAAGCCGAACTTGTTGATGAACCGATGACAGGTATCTCTCATTAAGATGCGTTGATACATCTTTCGATGATTCGCAAGTATTTGGAAGAGAATCTTACAACGTATAATTCATATTGTGATATCGAAGACATGATCGAAAAGAACGCTTTAATAAATCGTATTCAAAGTATAATCACGGATTTCTTTAAGTAAATTTATGTGTGTATGTACTACTTAATAAATGTTGACAAGAACCAGTTTATGTACTGTTTCACATATAATGCCGATAAAGCAGCGGACTCGACTGTAATAAAGATGTACAAGAAATGGTTAATATATTCGAATCTACACATCTAAAATCAAAACTTTATTATTCACCTAAAAGATCTTGTTAATTCGATACAATTAATTTATGACATCGACATTTTTTTTCTTTATATTTCTTAGTATCTCATTTGTTTTGAATATATAAAATAAATTAAATTGAAAATAATTGTATGTTATATGTTAAATTCATTTCAAAATATTAACGAAGTGAAATATGTGAAGAGAATATTGCCTATTAAGAGAAAGGTATGAATGAATAGGATGTGGATAGAACCTTTGCGTCATGTGACCTTTCGTTTTTCGGGTCGAAAAATAAATTTTTCGTTGCACAATAATGAAGAATCTCTGAAATGGGTCATTGCGTAATTCTGAAAGGTACAGCCCTATTAAGTTGTTTTTCGATTGATTATTTTATATAGAACGGAAGCACCTTTTGTATACCTTATGACATGTATTCTTAATTTTCACGCATTCAATATATGGCAGTGCGTGCTGATTTTTCCTTGCGTCATCATAATAATTTCATCATTTCCTTCTTCATGAAATTAATAAAACGGATTTTACCAAATAAACTTTAATCAAACTTGTATATATATGGGTTAGATCCATGATCTCTTTATTCAAACAAAATGTAAGTTAAACATAGATTTGTTATTCTTAGATATTTATTTTCCTTTAATTATTATGTCTATCGGAAGGATACAAAAGTAGAATTTTAGTTTCTTTAAGAAATTTATCTATATGAAACTATCACAAAGTAATTGAATAAAGTTTTTATTAAATGTTTGAAATCTTTTTATGCGTGAAACATCCATATGTTGTTTCTGCTTCTTTAGTAAGATCAGTTATGAAATTATATATCGAGTTTATTTGTTCTTTAGCAAGGTGTACCTGTTAAATGTGAGAAGTCAAGTTATTGATAAGGTGACTCATGATGACGTCAGATTCTATAAAAAGCTTTGATGAGAAAAGAAAAGTTAATTCGTTCTTCGAGATACTTACTATTGAAAAGGAATTACTTAATTCCAACCCCTCAGCTTTGATTCTTTATTTGTTGGAATTTTCCAGCAACTTATCACGTAAATACAGTTGATGAAATCACTTTATCATAGTCAATACAATATTTTTTTATTTTCATATAGTCCAATAAAAACATTTTACACAATATCAATAATGATGCAAATGCAGATCTTTTATATTCTACAATTAATATATTTATTACAAAGCCAGTGGATTATTAATGCATATCCTACTGATGCAACTAAATTAAAAAATATTCAAGAAATCAACTGTTCTCAATATAAAACTGATTCTGATATTATTAGGAAATTATTTCCAGATATTCAACTTAATGCAATGTCACCTGACCGTTCCATAACATCTGCATTACTGAATACGAATGATAGAGTTAATTTTACAAAAATTGTTAACGAAACAACTTGTATTCCTTCGACTATTTTTTGTTTTGAAGATTTAGAGACATTAATTATAGAAAATTCACATTTTTGTGATTCCAAACGACGAAATTATTTACCAGAACAAATTATAAAATTAAAAAAACTTACAACATTACAAATATCTCATGTTAATTTTATATCTCTTCCTAATATAATTGGGAAGCTATCGTATTTAACAGATCTAACAATATCTTATGTTAATCTTATATCTCTTCCTGAAACAATTGGGAATCTATCCTCTTTGCAACGTTTATCAATATTCAATACTCATTTAAAATCTTTACCAAAAACTATATCGAATCTTAAATCTTTAAAAAAATTAATGTTACAAAACAATTCATATCTTCATTCTATAAAAGAAATTGATGGCCTGCCTGCTCTTCACACCTTAGATGTACGACATTGTTCAATTCAAGATCTTCCTCGTAATTTACCAAAATTAATGAATTTCTATATGCCTTACAATAATCTAACAGCTCTTGGTTCTGATATTAAAACATTAATTAATAAAGCAAATAAAAACCAAAATTTTCAATTTGATAACAATCGTATTACATCAATTACACCAGAAATTCGACATCTTCATACTCTTTCTCAACTCCATCTTGATCACAATCAATTACATACCCTTCCCAAAGATATTTTCGATATGACGAAGTTAACTGATTTATACTTACGAAATAATCGTTTTAGTCCACATCGAATACACGACTACAGAAACGAATTCAACAAAAGAAATTCAAAGTTAAAGGTATATTTTAATTAGAATTAATTCAAATATTTACAATCTTAGTAAATTTATTCTATTATTTATAATGCTAATTGTCTGATAATTTTTCTTATCTCATTAAATCCTGAATTATATATTTTTTTATGCCTTTTTATGGGCAGTAAAGTCAAGATGCTTTGTAAAAGATGATTTTAAAATAAAAAATAACATTTAAAGAATGTATTAAATTAAGTTTTATTTATATCGAAATTCGTACTATTTACATTTATACTACATTGAAAAAAAAATGAAATAGATTAGTGATTCTACTTACTCAATTTTTCTTTTATGATAAAACTGATATGCTATCGTGCTATTACATATTGAAAACAAACGCGTAATATAGATTTCAAATCATTTTTTTTTATTACATCAGAAAAGAAAAAACAAGTAAACGCACATGGCATATACTGATCCTTTATCTCCTATGATTATTTCATAAATAATCTGTGGTGGTATGAATATTACCTGTTCGAAATACTTTATACAATTTCATATATTCACTTATATATCTGAATCAATGTATTCTTTAAATTAAATTTCACAGAAATATATAATCATAATAAAACTTTTTTACAATGCTAAAGTTATGGTCATTAACTAAATAAGTAAAAATTAAATATAAATTTAATAGGTTTTTAATGTTCTAAAAATGCGAGGCAATGGAATCTTTTTTTGAGTTAAACTCAATGAGAATATTCCTGAAGTATGAAGGAGATCAAACTGTTTTACATGAAATTTTTTAGGAGTATTCATATATTCTCTACACATATACGTCAGTAGTAATTATCAGTCAAAATCAAGATTATCTTATACAAAACAGATCCTATTCACTTTTATTATATTTACACTATTGTCCCATTATTTCGTTCAGACGATACGTACAGCAATAAGAAATGACTCTATTTAAATATTTGAATTAAGGCATACATATTATACTTGATATATTTTATTAGTAATTCTTATATCCAGTATCACTTATTATTGCAATATGAATATCAAAACAAAAATATGATTTACATGAAATGGATTGTATTAAGAAATTTGAAAAAAAGGAAGTTAATGATTCGTTGGAGAACGTAATAAAGGTGTAGAATTCATACTTCTACTATCAAATGATCGTGCAGATAACAATGGTGAATCACTTCTATGAACAATATCAGTTTTAGCTGATCCACTCCTATCCGGTAATGGTGATCCTTTTCTTATTGCAATTGAATGTCGTCGAACTGAAGGTTGTTCTCTTGCTGATACAGGTGGACTTGGTTGTAATTTATGTCGACGTTCTCTTGCTTTAACTAAATCTGATGGATCTTCGGGATGATAATGTTCAAGTTGAGCTTCACGACGTAATTCAATTTGTAATTTTAATCGATTCGTAAAAAATACATGACGCCAACCACGTTTTTCTGCTAATTGTATTAAATTTTTATTTTCTAATGCATGTCGACCATGTTGATACATATATAAAATTTTCCATAGATCATTATGTCGACAAATTGATCGAAATAATTTTGATACTAATGATAATCTTGGTATATCATCAAGATTAACAAATGAACATATTTTTATTTGAATATTCAATGGTAAACGTGAAAGCCAATCAATTTGACCACAAACTAAATGTAAACAATAATCAAGTGTTTTTTTACCAAATATTCGACTTATTTCACGTTGAGCAATTTCATCATGATAAAAATCTTCATAAGAATTTTTTATTTCACCTGGATAAATTGAACCTTCAATATTACGAAGAGTTATTTTCCACCAACGAAGAACAACTGTATTGGAATTTATTTGTAATTGACCATAATCTTTCGATGGTGAAGGTGCATCACCATCACATTGAAATAAATTTCCATCTTTTTTTAAAAGTCCAGATAGAAATGGATGTTCTTTTAAAAATTTTGGAACATCAAATGTTTGAATTGGATAAGTCGTATTCGTATTCTTATAGGAAGACATAATATAATAATGTTTCTATTAGTTGCCATTATATTATATGTTGCGATGCATTGAACCTCTATTGTCGTCTTCTTTTTTTAAAGAACGAATAAAATAAAATTTGATGTGTTTGAATTTAAACCAATGAATTCAAAGACGTACAAAGAATGTTATATGTCGCCAGTGTTATCATTAAAACTAAAGCGATCAACGATAATTTTTATCTAAAAAGATTTGTAGATCTTCTTGGTAAAATGGCTGGTGATGTAAAGAAAGAAATGTATTTTCTCGATCAAGATCGACCTACAGTAACAACATATGATGAAAAAACTCGTAAATTTATTACGAGTAAAACAGTGAATATACATGAACAATTATCAGCGAATAAATTATTTTCTCCCGTATTAATTCAATCAGCGTCGTCATGTGCATCATCAATCGAACAGACAACACATACATCGTTAGTATAATTATAATGATTTGAAAACAAATTTTATTTTGTCTTTTAGTAATTATCATCAAAACCAGCTGAATTCTATTGATGATGATGATATTAGTGAAGAACTTCGATCACTTACTGAACAACTTCTACCAGATTTATGTACACTTGATGGTGAACAATTTCGTTTGACAAATGGTATTGTTTTCTTTTTACTTATTGATGTTTTCATATGGTTAATTTAGGTACGAAATTCTATTGCACAATAAAAGATATTTTAACAAGTGAAGGTGAATTTTGGGTTGAACGTGAATTATCGATTGAAAATGAACGAAAATTTCGTCAATTTATCGATATACTTTCATTAATTGCTGTTAGTTATGAATCATTAAAACAAGTTTATGTTGGTCAATTAGTAGCATTATATTATGAAGCATCATGGCATCGAGCATTAGTTGTTTCGAAAAGTGAAGGACCAACAATAAGTACACCACCAAGTGCTCGTGTTCGACTTGTTGATTATGGTGCATCATTATATGTTAATGTTTCACAATTGAAATGGTTACCTGAACAATTTTATTTATTTCCTTTCAAAGTACGATATTAATTTATGTAAATAGTCGATTCAATAATTCTTTACTTCTAGGCAGTTGAATGTGTTTTTAGTGAAGCAATAAAACCGACATTTTCCGATACAATTCGTCTTACATTCAAACAACTTGTTTTAAATAAACGTTTATATGCTACTATTGTAAGTTTTTTACTTATTTATTTATTTCGTTTTCTATTCTTATCATATAAATTAGTATGATAGAGATGGTACACGTATTTGTATCTTATTAAAATGTAAAACTGATGAAGGAATTATAAATGTTTATCGATATTTACGTGCACATGAACATAAATCAAAACATGGTCGAATGTTAGCCGATGGAGAAATTATAGCATGTTTACGTAATACGATTCTTAATAATAACAGTTATCTTGATCAATCAGCAATGTCAAATAAAACATATAGTGGAACATTACCAGTTTTAACACCACCATCATCAATTAAACTCACGCAAAATCAACTGCAAATAAGACGAGCTGAAATTAATGAAATTTGTAAAAAATCATACAACGAAAATCAGATTGAAGCGATGTAAGTTTTGAAAATGACTTGACCATTCATTCGATGTCATTTTTTAGGAATGGCATAAAAACCGATAAGAAATCATATTTATCATCAGCACAAAGTACACCATTTTCTTCTAGTACAGTTATCACACCAATGCCACGTCTTACATTCGATCTGTAAACAAAAACATCTTCTTTCCTTTTTTGTACAATTGTTAATAAACCAAAAAAACCGTTTTTTTTATTTTTATTCACGTAAAAGATTATTTGAGATTTTTTTGTCTTTTATTTTCGAAACAAAACATTATGACGAGAAAAAATAATGAATATTGATGTTTTTTTGTTTTCTTATTTATAGATTATCAAATTCTAATGATAAATAAATATTCATTTAAAATTATAAGGACTTCTAAAAAAAAGCAATATAACTAGTACAATTCAACATTTGATTCTGAAGGATGGATAAAGTTTTCAAGCTTACAAAATATAGTGTCGATGCTAGTATTTCACTAAGTATTGTCATATTAAAATTTCAATGGATCAATATCTACTAACACTAATAAATTAAGATTCAATTGTGAATATAAAGGATGTTTTGTTAATAATCTATAATTATTCATGAAATTCGTTGAATAGATTAAAGTACATTCATTTTTTGTATTTGACAAATTACTTTTCCTATACTTTCGATTGATACGTCATATTAAATGTCATTATCTTACAATGATCTACGACTCTCTGTCATCAATAATATGCAGTGACATGAGCTTGTACACATTAGCACAGATATATTAAATCTGTCGAATTTAAAAAAAAAAATAGTACATCAATGAAGTTAATAACGGGCTCTGGTAACTCCAGCAGCCACTTATCAAGGAGACTGTTTTATCTGTCTTATTCCTCTTTCCTAGCAGAACCAACTACGCTCTTTCTAATAATACAATCAAATACTTCGCATGTCAAATTATCGTCCTAAAAAATTCAAACGTTAACATTCTGATATTGAAAGTATACCAGTGCATTCCAACAACGATCACAACGATGATGTCAGAGATCTGTTTCCAATCATTCACTTATGCTAATTCAAGTATAGTTTGAGCATCTCTACCCAGGTGATTAAATTTGATAACGGCTCCTATCATCTGATATAGGAATCAAGAGAAAGAACTTTTCGACGAATCGGGCGAACAAAAAAATTGAAAAAAAATTATGATGATTTCTTCATTATATTTAGCGTAGAATTCCATCAAAATCCGAAGAAAGTGGAAATTCAATAAATGAAAAAATTTTCAGATAATAATCTTTTCAATATGTCATATATTCGACTTCATCGAACTTCGACAAAAATGATAATTCAAGAATCGAAAGTTTCTCGCTTACGTTTTTGCTAATGATTTATCTTTTGGATTCTATCGATATCTGATGAGAACTGAAATCGAAAGTATAAATAGTTTTTACGATACGTATTTGTCATGTTCATTATTAAGTTTGATGGAAATTCGAAGGAATATGCGATCTTCTAAATGATGGTTTCTACATGATTTTGAAGACACTGTTCAAGATTTTATCTAGTCGAATGATTAATCGTAATGTCTACGTTTATGTTAATCGTAGGGTTTAAGCTTTGTATGCAGGTACGATGTTTGATAAGACATGATGTTGTTTTTTGCCCTGTTTTAAGGTTAGAAATTGAGTAGTAACCAATTTGGTTAGTGTGAAAGGTGAGTAATTTGTGGCTTCGTTGTATTTTATGTTTTGTTAGTGTGTTTGTAAGGTTACTGCTTGATGTTGTTGGCTAAGAGCAGTGAGAACCGATCGATTTACGACCGTTATATGACATTGGTCACCGTATGTAGTTTCCGATCGATAGTCTTACGTTTGGTATCCGGTAAATTCCGTTAGTGGTGACCTATGTTGGATTCCGATAGTACGGATCGGACTATCATTTCGTTCCCGATATCCACTGTAATCCGATAGGATCCTATGGGTTTTGCATATGATTTCGACAGAATCATGATCAAATCCCCGTTGGAACTTACGAGGGAAGGCCACCAACTGTCCCCTCGCTTTTGAGTTGAAACTCAGTTGGCGATAGGTAATCGAGTGTGCTGATTCCGAATATCACAATGATTTTTGCCCGCTTTCGATTTAAAGACCCGTTCTCTAAAGAACTTGGTTGTTCAACTGTAAAACCATTTGCACTAAAAAAAATTTTTGACTTGTCAAAATGGAAGAAGACATCATTAAACCTACAGAACGCGACTTTTCAAGGTTCTAAGCGAAGTTTTGAGCGATTTGTCTGCGTCTAAAACTTAAAAAAGAACAAAGGGAAAAACAGTAGTTTTTTCATAAATTGTGTAAGAATGTTGGCAGTTTTTTCTTCTTTTTTTTAAGTTTTAGACGCAGACAAATCGCTCAAAACTTCGCTTAGAACCTTGAAAAGTCGCGTTCTGTAGGTTTAATGATGTCTTCTTCCATTGTGACAAGTCAAAAATTTTTTTTAGTGCAAATGGTTTTACAGTTGAACAACCAAGTTCTTTAGAGAACGGGTCTTTAAATCGAAAGCGGGCAAAAATCATTGTGATATTCGGAATCAGCACACTCGATTACCTATCGCCAACTGAGTTTCAACTCAAAAGCGAGGGGACAGTTGGTGGCCTTCCCTCGTTAGTGAATCCTGCATTTGTTAATGAATCACCTAGGTATTAGATATCGCGCAGTTATTTCTACAGCTTTAAATTCAAAAACACTCCCTTGATACCTGATGTTCATAGAATCAGGACAAATAACTAAATCAACGCTCGTGATTAAACTTGAAGCATACTTCGAACAATTGCCATAGGTCCCTAGGCGAATTATTTCTTAGAACTATTCTAACAGACTACCATTATCGTACAGTTTTGACCAAATCAACTTCATCGAAAGTAATTTTTACTACCTCATTCCACAGTATTCAATGACTATCCTATGAAATAGTTTACAATCTACAAAAAAAGTTATCGACGTGAATGCTCCCGAAACTACCGCAATCTATTGCAAGCTTCAACTAACTAAATGTCGCACTCTATGTCTTCCATAAGCCCTATTCATAAAAATTGGTACAATACTGATATTTTTGTATGTCCTCAGTACATTTTTAATCGTGATTCAATATAAAATCCTTCTCCCCACTAAAATCTTATATTCCACCACTTGAAGGCCGCCATAGAATCATCAGAAAACGATAATGCTCTGTTCTACTCACAAAGCCGTTATTTCATGTACTAACCCAGAACCTTTGCGTGCAATTGTTTCATTAGCAGCAACAATCCGCCAAAAATTTTCGCATCGATTCTCAATAAATACATACATCCAGCAAAATTTATTAATATGATAAGTCAAACAACAAAATATTATCTTCGCATACACAATACTACTATTCAATTCCTTATTTTCACATCAAACGTAATCGTCACATTTAACCACCCCGTTCAATTTCGTATCACTGACGAACACTACACAAAAAATATCTCATCTTCTCTTCTCCTCACTTCGACCCAGTTCTGAACACTCAATCATCTTATTCAATATTACCTCAATCACGAACGATATTCATGAAACTCAACTTCACCTCTTTTTCTCATTTTCAACGAAATCTTTTCACTTAATCATCTCATTCAATATCACATCACGGAAGAATACTAATTAGGAAACTTCTTGTCACCTCTATTGTACACTTCTAACCAAATCTTCACAATGAATTATCTCATTCAAAATCACCTCACTCACGAACACTACCCACCAAAATCCCCGTCACAGCTGTTCACACTTTACACTAGATCTTCATATTTGATCATCGCATTCAAGATCACATCATTCACGAATACGACTCACAACCTATCTCTCCACCTCCTTTCGTCCCTTCGTATCAAAACTTCGCATTCAACGATAACATTCAATATCACATCAATAATGAGCACTATTCAGCAAACTGCTCTTCACCTCTTTTCCCCACTTCTCACCAAATCTTCACACTAAATCATCTAAGTCACGACAACCTCACTCACGAACACTACTCAGAAAACTGCATTTCATATATTTTCCTCACTTAGAAGCAAAACTTCACACCCGATCAACTGATATAACATCACATTACTAACAAACACTACTCATAAAACTACTATTCACCTCTTTTCCTCACTTCATACCAAGTCTTCATACTCAATCATCTCAGTCAATATCACATCATTCAAGCATAGAATTCACGAGAGTCCTCGTCAGCTCCTTTCCTCCCTTCTGAACGAATCTTCACATTCGATCATCTGATTTAATATAACCTCACTCCCGAACACTACCCAGAAAACTGCATTTCATCTCTTTTTCTCAATTAGGAGCAAAACTTCAAGCTCGCTCATCTTACTTAATATGACAACACTAGCGAACACTACTCAACAAAGTCCTCTTAAACTCAATCTATCGCCTGACACCAAATCTTCACAATTAATCATCTAATTGAATATCACATCGTTCACGACCAAGACTGACTAAATTCTGCTTCAAATATTTTGCTTACATTGTAATAAGTCTTCATACTCGGTCAACTCAGTCAATAAGACATCATTCAAGAATACTGCTCACCACATACCGCATCAGCTATTTTCCTCACTTCCAATCGAAACTTCAGACTCCAGCGTCAGACTTAAGATGATATCACCCACAAACAGTACTCAGCAAAATTCTCTTTACATCTATTCCTCGCCTAGGACCAAATCTTTCCAATTAATCGTCTAATTCACTATCACCTCGCAAAAGAGCACGACTCAGCAAATTTCACTTCACTTCTTTTCCTCACTTCTAAACAAATCTTCACATTCGATAATTCAATTTATTATGACCCCATTTCCGAACACCTCCCAGCAAACTGCATTTCATCTCTTTTTCTCAATTAGGAGCAAAACTTCACACTCGATAGTTTGACTTAATATCACATCACTAGCAAACGATACTCAACAAACTCCTCTTTAACTCAATTTCTCACCACGAACAACATCTTCACAATTAATCGTCTGATTAGATACCACATCGCTCACGACCAAGACCAACCACATTCCGCTTTACCTCTTTTCCTCACCTCGTGCCAAACGTTCACTCTCAATTGTTTCAATCAATATCACATCATTCACGTACACTAATAACCAAACT